GGGTTTTCTAAGCAACCACAACAAAGAGAGCCTCCCATCATGCGATTTAACTTTATGCTTGGTTTGGGTCTGGTCGGGGCTTTTATATTTGGCCAAGGCTATCTTTCAAAGTGCTTGCAGTGCTAAGGATAGAGAAGATGAGCTCCCAAACTTGTCTAAATCATCGTTGTTGTCTCTTGAGTAGACTGTAGGCATCTCATTCTTCTCATTCTGTTTTTATCGCTTTCAACCAGTTCTCTTTGCAAAAGCCTTCTCATAACAAAAACAGAGAATATGGGCTAAAAATTTTTACATAGATTTGGCTTCTTAAAAAGAAATGGCGATAAACCCCTTGAAGAAGAAGAGGGCTTTCTAATTTTTCAATGTATTTTAATATTTAAAAGTAAGAAAACAATACAAACGGATCCTCTTCTCACATATAGAAATTTAATTGTGTGATGCTGAACTGGCACATTATAATAGGATGTACAGGAAAATGTGCAGATTGGGATGTATAGGAAATTCGGACTCCCTTTACTACCGTTTTGGTTTGTTGGGTCTGACCTGATAAGACCCACATCCAATTACATTTGACGGGCCTTTACTTTTGGCAATAGACCGACTAATTAATAATACTCTCGATATCTATATATATAGAGGTTAAACCCAGACTCTGTTAATAATAAGGTCTGGATCAGTTCTGGATATGCTGGGTCGACCCAGAACATTGACAGCCCTAGTTCTGAGGTTGGGTGGAGTTACCTTGGCTTAAAGTAATTTTTGTTGTTTTGGCTGGTTGTGCCTTTCATGAGGCAATGACAAGGAAGGTGTGTTTGGCACATTAAAGTGTATTTTGTCATTTCCTTTTTATGACATGACAAGGGTAGTTTGCCCGCATTAATTGGACACTAATTATAATAGAAACAGAGGTTATAAACCTACAACACCTCCATCCATTACTCAATGTTGGTCCCAGCTATCTACAGTCTTTGGATGGGTTGACTAGTTCCAAGTAATGACCCCTCAACACTTTAAAATGAGGTTTATATGCTAATTGCAACATCTCAACAAAACTCAGTCTAATCCCAATTATTCTATACAATCCTATCTTACCATTGTACTCTATCAAGCATCTTGTTTTTCTGCCAAATTGTAACTTTTTAAATCATTTTTTTTACCATTTTAAACCATGATTTCAGTGGTATTGAGTATTCCCTTGCTATTTTAGAGCCTTGCACTAAAGCTGTGTTTGTTTTAATAGAAAATAAGAGAAAACAAAAGGTTTAAGAAAAGTTAGGCTCTGTTTGAGAATAGTGCAAATACAAATATGTAAGGCTCAGTTTGGAAGGAGTAAAATACATACAAAATAATACAAAATGCAAAGACTTTTGCACTATATATGTGTATTTGTACTCCTTCCAAACAAGCCTTTGTAGTGTACATATATATCATGGTTTTTATAACCGGACCGGACCAGATGGTCAGACCGGAATTTCAATTCATTGCTTGATAAATGCATTATTATTTTGTTTTTTTTTTCTGTCATATTAATGCATTATTTGTTTTGGTCGTAAAATTTGAACAACTATCCACTATTAATAGAGCATGCAAAAGCAACAAGCAGCTATCCTTATATATAATAATATGTTAAGCTGGTAAAATGGAACTAACCCAAAGAGCCTATAAGCAATTGTTGGTGAAAATTCTACAAAGCCTAAATTTGCTATCTTTCAGCTTTTAGCCAAAAGAAGAAAAGGAAAGGGCTTTCCATTGAAGCTTCTTTTAATACCCAAAGCAATTCAACCGAAGCTTCAGACCTCCGAAACACACCTCGAGCATAGACATGCAAGTTGGTACCCAACTTCAAGAATTTACACTGCAGTAGGCCAGCAGCCCATTCTAATTCTAACAAATGACCAATTCTAAGTTTCTAACCTGCCCAAATTGCAGCCCTAATTGAGGGAAGAAGAATGGGAAGCTTCTGATTACCAAAATCCTGATAAGACAAATATTCCAATCTTATCATCATGAAAAAGATGGCAAAACAACAAAGGAAGAAGTTGTCAAATACAAACTAGACAAACTACGATTATTGGTTTCTTTCAACTATTTTACATCTCCTTGGAATTTATTCCAAATTAGCCACAAAACCCTTTCACATTTGTTGTACTTTATTTGCATATAGCTGCAGCTAGCTTGTATTTTCCATTATAATCCATAAATATACAAACCCAAACAGATGCCTCAGATAATTCTTCCTTCAAAGTAGTTTTATGTTCTTGGACGGATTGCCTTCATTTCTTCTCTGACTTGAATATGAAAGCCATTTGGGAATGTTAGTGCAGGAGTTCAGACTATTTCTCCTCCCTTTGATTGTTGAACACCTGCCAAAACCAAATTTAAGAAGGTATGAGGGCATGTATTTTCATGCATCTTTTTTAGGCTTATTGACAAGTTCATGTCTGGTTAGAAAGTATCAGTATTTGGTGATGACCAAGAAATGGAGAAAGGTTTTCATCAATAGCTTTGTATTCTGCTCCTACACATGATCATGTTCCTCCACCAAAACCAAAAAAATTCTTGGGTGAAAGTGTTTTGCCCAAAAACCTTTTTTTTTCCCAGAAGAAGGGGAAATAAGATATAATTAAATAAAAAAACCAGATATCTGATTAACAAGAAATGTACAAACCATGAAGGAATACATAACATGCCTTCCATCTTCATGGATTGAAGGCAAGTAGATCTTCATATTGGCTAGAGCCTAAATGAAGATTTATTGAGCAGATAATTAATGATCGCTCAGCCAAATGGAATTATTCATCAGGTGGTGCAACTTGGATCTTATTCATCAGATTTCAGTGGAATTCAGATTTAAATGAGATAATGAATAGTATCAATAAATCAAACTAAAAATAATAAAAAAATATCATATATTATTAACAAAATGAATTAAAAATGACTTTGATATTGTATTTCATGAACAAAAAGAAATGAGAATAACTTATATGAAAGTAGAATCTGAGAAAATTTAGTAAAAATGCAATGTTCAAACTAATTTTATTAAAAGATACAAGATCAATTTTAACTATACATGAGCATGTATATATTTAAATTGATTCCGAATTGCATTTCAAGAGATTGGATCGGGGAGGATCCACATTAGATCAAATTATAAACAGATACCATTTGAAAAAGTGGATACCATTTGCAGCCCTACAATTTCCCCCTGGGGCTTAGAAAAATTGTCTTAGTAAAGTTGGGGTTTATATAACTTATTTAGGGAGAGGATTAGCTGGAGACAAAATCATACACACTGGACTGGGCTACCTATCATGAGTGAACATGTCAATGCTCACTGTGGGCCCCATCTGTACTGCACACTGGCATGTTCAGCCAAAAGGTAGCCCAGCCTGGTGTGTATGATTTTGTCTCCAGCTCATCCAGACTCGTTTTTAGATGGGTTGGATTAAGGTTATATAATCTAAAGTTGGCTTTGATTAGGGCTGAGGTTAAAGGTGCAACTAGGGCAGGCTTGGGTTGGGTTTTTGTCAAAATTTGAATGAGCCTGGCCCAAAGGCTTGAATGCCAATTTGGGCCAACCCTAGTTGCACAAACCCTCTTATGTCTTAATTTTCTCTATTAAAATCTACCGTTATTCTTCTCTAATAAACTTATTCTTAATTCTGCCCCCCCCCCTCCCCTTCCCTTTTTCAATAACCAGTGTTTGTAGCATTTCCCGTCCCCTCATTAAATCTCTTTATTTCCTATTAAATATCTTTAAAACACTTTTGACCCTGTATGGGTACGAATTGATTTTTTTTTTTTTTTGAACAGAATCAGCCCTAAGGCTTTTTGTGAGATCAGGATTTTTGTGCAACTCGGGAGGGTTAGGGTTGGAGTTGGAATCCTAACAGGGTGAACGTGACCTTGCCTCGGAGAGACTGTGCATACACAGGTTTGATCCTGCGCCACTCTATTAGAGAAAGGCTGATTGACCATCCAAACTACTGGATCATTGGCGATCATGATTCAACAAATTGGTAAACAATTGTTCTATCACTGGTATGATTTTTAAGGAGTGCAACTATGATATTGAAAAGGCATGATATCTAAAAAAACTGGCAACCAATCAACCCACAATAATGCCAATTTTATAACATTAGTTTGCAACAACATTAACCACCTTCAACCCCAACTTAGAGGTGTTAGACAATGCGAATGGTTTTTTTTTTTTCTAAAACAAAAACAATTGCCACATCAGCAAAAAATGAATTGTTTTTCTTACATGACAGATTTTTTGTTTTAGAAAACAAAACCATTCACATTGTCAACACCCCCTTCATTATTCTATCTCCTATCTGCCCCATCCAAGCATCCGTCTTTTCATACATTTAGATTGCTCTAAGCATAAGGGTTACATCATCTCTACTCTAAGTTTATCCAAGGAAGAACTTTGAGGATTATTCCCTGACAAAATCTATCGAGCCTTTCTCTACATTTGCATTCTTTTTATCCATGTCTAGATCAATCTTTGTAGCAAGACCCTTCTCTTGCTTTTCTTCCATGCATCTACCCTTTAATCTCATCATTTTACTGTTTTTTGGGGTTTCTTTTCTACATAGTATTCACAGTGAGCTTGGATGTCAAGGATGAACAAGTAATCTAAAAGATCCATCTTCATGGATGAGAAAAATACAAGAGAAAACCCCATCTATTGGTTTTGTCTTTCATTCTTGTTATAGGTTGTTCCTTTCTCTCTTTAGGATTGTTGTCCAAAGTATCCTAGTATCCAGGTTAGTAAGGTGATCTGAGTAACCCCCTCATACCCATACCTTAAGAAATAGATGAAATCTCAAATAGGGGAAAAAATACCCAGTTCATGAATCATAATATCATCTTTATAAATTAATGAGGGGTGTCTGAAAATGGCTGAAGTGGTTGAATTGAATGACTTATTGCTTTGCTCCTTTACTGGATAAGTTAACTGAAAATAGTAAAATATTCAAGGGTATACCGGTATAGTCATCCAATGGTCCAAAAATCCAGACAATCAAGATCAATTTGGAAAGGTACCACATAAAATATCAAAAATGAAAAAGAAAAAAAAAAAACAACTATCAAACATTCAAACCCACCAACCAAAATACAAGGCTTTTTGGGAGTATTCTTACAGAACTCAAAGAAACAACAAATTATATGGAGAAGAATTTGGTGATCAAATAGATGTATGATTTCATACTGGTGATGGTAAAGGGCTTTCTTTACCATGGTGTATCATTCTTTCCTCACATTAAGAACATCTAATCTGTGGTTTGTATACAGGGATCTCTCTAATGTAAACAGAACTTCTCAAAAAATGACTTTTCTTCTTCCACCTCAATCAGTATTATTCCGTGTCCCACCCAGGAATGTTGGCAGTAGCTTCATTCACCATCTTTACAAGAGTAACCTGAAACATAATAATAAATGAGTATTATATGTAAAGGAAAACAACAAAGAGTTAAGTAAAAGACCAAATACAATACTCTCAACATTCATATAAATCGCCTTCACAACTATTCTATCTCAGATAAATAGGAACTACAAAATGATGTGAAATTCTTCTTTTCTATCTACAGTACAATAATGAAGGCACTTATTGTTAAGTAAAAGCCTAAAAGGTAGCAATTTTCAGATTCATAAACTATAAATTATTTTGGGACGGTTTAGAGTGCAGCTGTTCACTGCTGGCAAATGCTACGAGGTCACTAAACTAGGGATCATACACCAAGAATGAGACATGAGACAGTAACCCCTCATGCTCCATCCCCCTTGTACATGTATACACCCACGAGGCCTGGATATCTGTACATGCCTTGCATACTGATGTTGGATATGACATGTACCCAATACAACACTAGAAAATTCATGTTGTGGACACTTGGTATATTTTATAGCATTAATACTTTTAGAATATGTAAAATGGTAAATTTCAACAAATCATACCATAAAAGTCTTGTATATGTTAGAATTTTAATTAAAATTTTCAAAGTACTGAGAAATGACATTTAGCTTCAAAAGCTTGATATAGAAGCATGTTATAGACATATTATGTAAGATACCCATACCCATATACATGTCCAGGATTTTAGAAAATAGATAGTTGTATTCCTATTTTACATATCGATGTGTGTGTGAGAGAGAGAGAGAGAACTTTGACAATATAGCAGGACATAGACAAAAATATTGATAGAAAAATAATTTTCTTATAGAGAAGAGATTAGTGCAGTCACTAGTCCAGACTGTTCAATAATTAGGAGTGAACAAAATAGTCCTATTTACTTGTTGGTGCTTTCTTGGGTAGACATCCATGGTTCTTACTAGTAGTCATGGTCCATTAACAATTGCACCATTCTCTACCACTTAATGGCCCTTCGCATATTCTGGTACACATTAATCTGCTTGCTTATGATGAGAGGCAAAAACCATTGACTACAGAAACTTGGACCTTCTCTCTCTTATCAGTAGGGAAAAAAACTGCTTATATTTGAATTTCATTAAAACTATTTGTTTCAGATAAGTGTTCTCAATGTCAACTTGGACAAAGGTGAGAAATATTTTACACAAGTAGTGGTTACGGTGTTCTCATTAATATCAACTGAAAATAAGCAAGAAAAACACCAGACCTTAAGAGATACTGCTGAACTATTCTTACGGAGAAATGGTTCACAGTATCAGATTTTTCAACAAAAAAGATGTTTTCTGGTCTCTGATTCTACAAGGCAAGCTTGCAATTCTGCATGATAGATTGTTTAATCTTGACTCCATTCTTTTCAGAGCTTAAGCTTCCCAGTATACTTGTATAGGATGCTAGTGAAACATTTGAAATCATTACATAAATATGTCTGTGTGTGTGAAGATTCACAGCATCATACATATGTACACACCAACATTAAAAGGTAGTGTTAATAGGAACTTGATGATTGGTGAACCAAAGGGAGGAATGGTGTGCACGCTGAAGATGAAACTTAGACCAAACAGAGTCCCTAGAGGTGGGAAAGGTTGCAGTAAATTATTGGAATTTAAGATTTTACAAATACAAAATCATATAGGACACAAAAATTGTATTTCTTGAAGTTCCTGTAAATCTACAGGGATGTTAAATGAGAAATGAACAAACTCAAAAGTACAACTGAGAAATATAAATGTGTAATGGTAAGTAAAAATATGGAGCAAAGCTACTTTTTGTCAATCACCAAGAGAATTTTACAGAGAAAGAAATAGTAAAGTGCAAGCTCCCCTACCGAAAAAGTAGTAAGGGAAATGAGCCAATGCATATTCCAATTTCCTTTCATCCCAACTTAGTGAAACTTTAAGAGGTACAAACATCTTTATCTAGACTCAAGTCAAGTGTGGAAAGTAACAAATAAGGGTTAACCAGTGTATATCGAGTTGTAAAGATATGACAAAAGTACGGTAGAGGAATGGATGGACAAGTTGCATACACAATTTACACAAAAAATCAGAATATCCAAACATGACATAACACTCATATACAGATATCCAGATTTCATAGGTGACAAAATGTTTAACCATTAAACCATGCAAGAGACACTTTTCAACTTAACCTGCAAAACACTGGGGCTTCTAAGAAAACCTTGTGCCAGAAAAGCAATTTCTGAAGTTGAGAAATGGAAATAGTACATTTTTGTTCAACCACTGATATGTGAAGGACAAATCACTCAATCGGGATCTTCACCACAAAAGGAATTAAAAAAGGCTAACACCAATGTTGGCCCCAGTTATCTAGGTTCTTTTTTTGGCAGAATCAAGAAGAAGGAAAATATATTAAAAGAAAAGGTTACATCCTATATTCCTATCACATTGGTTGTCAAGATGACACACCAACATCAAGTACATACTTCAATTACATGTCCAGGACATTAAACTGAGAATGCATCTCAGTTTAATGTTACATCCTATCTAGGTTCTTGGGAGGGTTGGGGACTGGATAAGGTCCTAATCTTTGGCACTTTTTAAACAAAGTGGCCACTCTGAGACTTGAACCCATCTTCTAATGCTTCACCAGTGTTTTAAAAGGCATGGGAGGCATACGCCTGGAGGCGCTCCCAAAACGCCCTGAGGCGTATGCCAGAGGCGCTGACACCTCTGAGGCATATGCCTCATGCGCTTTTTTCATGAGGCGTGCATCTTTATGTTATGCATCTTTATTCTTCTTAATATAAAAGATTTTTATTAAAAATAAAGAAAAAATGAGATCCCCCCTTTATGCATCTTACGCCTCTTGTGTTCTGAACTACACCTCACGCTTCCACGTTTTAAAACATTGTGCTTGACAGCCCAAGATTTTACTATTACACCAAGTAATGGCCCCTTGGCAGAAAAAGAATCTCAGGTGGAATATCCACCCTGGAYCCCTGGTTTCCAGAAATATAACATACTACATATTGAAAGATCCTCTTGGCTGGAGTGTGGCCAATGACATTTTTTTAAATCAATAACCAAATCAAAAGCTTCATGAAAATTTCATGATAGCTAAGAAGTATCCATTCATCAATGGGAAATCCATAAAGGACCATACTCTGTACTCTAGTATATCACACTTTCCATCTGGATAACCTTACCAAGTCCGGCATACACGCACACACACACACACACACACACACACACACACAATAAACAAGAATCAACCACAGTATAATCAAGGAACTGAGCTAAAAATAATTCTAACAAAGAGGTTTAAGTTCAAAGTCTCGATTCTGATATTGATCTAAGATCATGAAAGAAACCATAAAGGAAGACTTATTGGGGTTGGCACCAAAGAACACAAAGAGTCAACAGTAAAGGAAACAGAATTAGAAGCAGCAGATATTAAAACCAAGAACTTCAAAGTTTTTTTTTTTTTATTTATTTCCACTTATTCTCATCAGATATACAGTGATATACATAGAGAAAAGTAATAGACACACCCTCCGTGAACTGCCCAAAATCATTTGCTATGTGGCATTCAAAAACTTGCTGCCTAAGAAAGACCAAATTAATAAACAAAGGTTTTCTAAAATTCCAAAACAATTCAAACCCTTGGGTGGGGATGCTGAACTATACAGATAACCTTCTATATCTCCAAGATTTTCTCTAAGAGATATTCAAAGAAATAGCATCTGCAGCCTGTGAGTTGATATGTTAAGGCTGCTGGCTTGATCTTCACAAGTTTGACCTTGGGTTTCCACAAGTTGCATCTAAGCTTTTAGAATATACTATATAGTACTAGCCAGTGATAGATAAAACATACTGTTGCTAAATGGAGAAGCAGTTTTATCATATGAATTAATATCAAATCCCATGAATTCTGCAGTAGATTATCATCCTCTTCATTAGAATGATCATTTTCTTTGTTAAGAAAGATAATTAACCCCACAAAACTTATTCTTTTGAGCTTCCTTTGATCTGATCCTGATATTAAAAGAATGATTTCATCATTGTCTAAGCCTTATCCCAACTATATGGGGTTAGCTACATGAATCCTGTCGTTCCGTTTTATTTGATTGTTAAATTATGAGAACTTAAATAATTTCTTACTACATTGACCAGTTCCTTTTTAGTCAGCCCCCAGCCCTTCCAGACCCTTCAGCCTGTAACAGATCCCTTCTTCTTATGGGTTCTGTGGGTTGTCTTCTGTGCACTTGACTATACCATCTTAGTCTATTTTCTCTTATTTTATCACCTATTGGAGCTACTCTTAACTTCCTTTGAATGACTTCATTTCTCACCCTATCTTTTCCAGTTTCTCCACTCATCCATCTCAGCATACGCATTTCAGCATAGCTGGCCTTACAACTGTTTTATAGAATTTTTCTTTCAATCTAAAGGGTATTTTTCTATCACATAAGATGCCGGATGCACCCTTCCATTTGGCTCATCCTGCTCTAATTCTATGGGTGACATCCTCTTCAATCCTTCCCTTGTTATGAATTATCAAACCAAGGTACTGGAAAAGGTAACATTGAGTTATCTCTTAGTCTCCAATCCTAAGTGTACACTGATCTGCACTCCTGTTATTATTAAATTTACATAGCATATATTCTGTTTTAATCCTAGCACAACAGGGTTTACCTTAACAAAATTTTGCCTATTCAAGGCAAGATGTAAAGGGATTTTCATTTCCACAAGTTGCAGTTACTAAAATAATATGGATAATATGAGAAGCAAGTACATTTGGCATGTGGAGCTTTCAAAAAATGATTTGTTATGTAGTGGAAAATTTTCAAAGCTATATGATTCACGAATGTTCCTTCTACATGTGATTGGAAATGGAATTAAAACTTCATTTTGGTAAGATACTTGGATTGTTTGAATGTTAACTTAGTTTGGATTCCTAGGGAACACAATCATACTGCAGATGGCCTAGCTAAATTTGGTGTGTACTTGGAGCATTTGTATAGCGACAAGCTTCCTCCTTTGTAACTTGTAGGGGTTCTTCCCCTGCTTTGTATATCTCCCCATGTTCCCTCTCTTTTTCTTATTGAATTCTGGTTAAATTTTCTCAAAAAAAAAGGTACTTGCAAGATAGAGGACACACTAACAGGTTGGATGATCAGATAAATGACATTCTATTGGATGAAGCAATGTTAAAGTGACTGGAAAATGGTGGCACCACCACAGGAATTGGTTCTTAGCAGACCCCTGCATCAACTACTATCCTAACTGATCTTGGAGAATTTGCTACTCTAAGAACCTATCCTTATTGTTAAGAAAATTTAATTTTATCAAACTATTCTGCATGCAAGTGAATGGGAGATGTAAGAGCACCATAGGTGATCATGTCATACAAAGAGTGAGCAAATGCATAGAAGTACTAGTTGCAAAAAAACAAGATGAATATAAGATCACCTATAAAAATGTTGATATGTAGGAAATTACCTAAGCTATTGGTCATATTTTACAAAAAGAGGTACGTATTTCCATAATGGTATAGAAAATGTACAAAAACTTCTCAATAAATAGTGGTGGAAGAATTATGTAATATCACTTCCCAAATTTTTCTTTTTTGCCTAGACTTATGATGTTTAAGCTGATAATGTTAGACGTATGGAGAAAAATGTAGGAAAATTCACTTGGATATCTCAGCAAATGGATTCAATGATTCACTGATATAAATTAAACACCACGAAGCTAACTGTTTAAAGAGCATCTCCACTGTGAAGTCCTGAGATTTTTTTTTTATTTTTATTTTGATAACCAAGTCCTGAGATATTTTTATAACTGCTAATTCATGTCAATGCACCATTTCTAAAAGGTGTTAGTAAATTGACATGCAAGTGGGTACTATTATGTACCCACATAAAATACACGACACTGGAAATCACTGAGCAATGCACATAAGGAAAAGCTGCTTCAAGTACCAAGACAGGGTTTCAAAAGATTTATAAGAAGCAGAACAAATCATGAAAAGATGTTTTGATATGGCATGGACAACATAATGCCAGAAGTGCTGGAACAAAGCATATCAGAAATCTACATAGCATATTGGTCTTAGATAAGAACAACCATAAAATCATTCTTCATTATGCCCAAGTCAAAACACAATTAATGGTTTCTGAGATGAAGAATGCAACCAATAAAATTTATCTTTTCTTCTTTTCTTTTCTTTCTCAAAAGAACAAAGTAAATAGGAAAAAATAATAGAAAGCTAAACAAAATGTAAACACCAAGATACAGAGCCCTGCTAGATAGTCAGTAAAAACATAATACAGAGCTAGTCATGTGGAACAGAAAAATTACAAGGAATAAAATGGGATCCTAAATGTGGATGTTGTATATGCGCTTCAATGTTGTCTTTAATAGCATAGGAAGGAGGGATGGCTTTCCTTGCATACTTTTTGGCATTAATTTAATACACTTCTTACTTATCAAAATAAATATGAGGAATAAAATGCTTAAAAATCCTACTTCAGTTCAAATTAAGGATTTTCCATTATAATGAAACACAAGTGTATATTAACAAAATGCCTAGGCTTGATGAAAACAATTAGAAGTACATACAATTTAAGTATCACCTTCAAACCTGAAACATGCAATTTTTTCTTGGTTGCAATAAGATAATCATTGGCATACCACACTTTCTGGGACTCCTGGAGGAGGCAAAGGAAGATTTCTTGGTGGAGGACCATGAAGATATGATCTTTTGTCGAAGCGCCACTCCCCAATTTTTCCATATGTTAGCTCACCCTGAACAAACATCCTCACATAAATAACTAAAGAACATATAACTAATATAATTACAGTCAAGGATCATGTGCTGGAAAAAAAAAATGAAACTTCAGCATCATAAACTCATAAAGGAGTGTAAAATAGAGCAAAGAGTAAATTAGTACATGGTTTGGGACTTCACTACAACATAATGTAATATTATACCTTTAAAGAATAGTCACATCCATAGGTGTAATGGATGATGAACGTTTTCCCAACCTCCAAATCCCAAGGGGGCTGAAAATAGCCATTTCAAGTACTTTTCAATATATTAATGAAATATCTGTATACCAAAGAAACTTATGAAAAATTATAATGAAATACAGAAAAGTTAATCAGGTAAACAGAAAACCTGTATCATAAAATCTTTCCGAAGAATGTGCTTCACACCATGCATTGCAGATGCAACAGCATATGCATACCTTAGTCCACATAGAAACAATAGAAACATCAAATTTGTGTTAATAACACCAGGACCAACTACCTTGCAAAAATGTAAAAATGGTAAGTTATGAAATCTTTTAGAAGTTCTCACATTTCTAGAACCCATCCAAAAGTTTTGTCAGCTTCTGGGTCATCTTTCATTTTCAAAGAAACATTCATCCATGTTGGCGCAATTTTTTCCAGCAAAGTCTGAAAAGGGAAATTTAGTAAGCATGTGATATGATCACACAATACATAGATGATCAACAAACTGAATGCAGGTAAAGATGACAAAGACAGCAAGAATAGAAATTATAAACTTCAAGACTTAGCACCTATAGGAGTTTAAACCAATAATGACGCCACAACCTTAATCCTTTTCTTTCAATAGTGACCAACATTCATACAGAGAGAGGGATAATGGGTATATTCAGAATCAAGATCAGACCACTTCTGTTGAAACACAAAGGCAAGAAAGACACCTTCTTGATAATTACAGGAGAATTGCCAATAGGGTCAATATCTGTCACTGGTCCCTTCTCTTCTGGATAGAACTTCCTTATTATTTTCTCATTCTGGTCAGGTTTAATGTAGAAAAATGGGAATGCTGCTGGATATTCTCCATGTGCCAAGTTTGGCAGAGGATTTACTAAGATGTGATCAGGTTCAGCCATCAGAACATACCTGTATCACTCATGGAATGCAGTCACTCAAATTACAGGAGAAATAAAGTATCCAAATTCGTTAATAAAATATAAGTATACTTACTCCTCATCAATCGTTGCTTTTTCTAGCCATTGCACAAAGGCCCATGGTCTATTTAAGACAATGTAACCCTGAATGCAACATTTAAAAACAATGTAAAAAACAGGTACCTTAATAAACAAAACTGACTGATGCAAATATTAAATTAGGAAAAAAACAAGTGGGAAGCACATCCAGTTACATCTTTTCCAACCAAAAAGTGATTTCTGTAATGGCGTGACATAAGCAACCCATTAACAAGCAAGATTGTCATCACTTGAAAATAGGAGGAAAAACAATTGGAAGATAGAAAAAGAAGAGGCTGGGCTATATGAAAATACTATAAGAAACCAGCAAGTGGAAAAACTCTCACCCGATCGAGACCCTCTGGGAGAGGATTAACCACAAAAGTTGGAATCTCATCCATTAGATTGTCAGGATTTCCTGAATGCAGCACTCTAGTGAATCCCCCCAGCTCTGACCCAGGCATTTCTTTTGCCTTCTTATACCAATAGTACATAATGCGACATTGCCATTTGCTGTAAGGAGCATCAGTTGCCGTAAGGGCAACATGGAAAGGCCTCCTAGCATTCTCTGGTCTCTTAACATTCTCAGGCATCTGGGTGATAGGATCAGATGACGTTGAGAAAGATGAACCATCTAATTTACCTAAACTTATGGCTCTGTTTTGGATTATCATTGTTATCAAATTGTATGTTGCGAAGAAAAATCCCAACGCCAAAAGAACCAGAAACAGAGAGGCCCGCCCCATGCTCTTCCTTCCAATCATCTTACTTTGTCGATGAATCCCAAATTCTTCCGAGTTAACCCAGAAGGAATTTCCTATCCGCAGAAGCTATCTGAGAAGTACCCATTAATCCGCTTTGAAATTCCTTGCATTCACCACCGTAATGCACAACTTAGACGACTGAAAGGCAAATGCTTCTATGCGAATTCCAGACAATTTGACAGAATTCACACGTCTACAAGCTCTAGCGAGCAAACTGCAACGAAATTACAATCCAATAACAAGAGATCAAGGTCATGCAGTTGATATTAACGCATACGTGAAACAGTCTTGAAGTGAACAGAATAGTCAGAAAATTTGCATTTCTTCAGATGATATAAACAAAAAAAAAAACCGTTAATTTCTCCAGAAATTTACAGAACAAGAGACTCGGAAGCAATCCCGTAAAATCATCACAAAGAAGATAAAAAGAAAGAACAGCCATTCATCGACAAAGAACCAGAACTTATTTTTCCAAAAATCTGCAACCCAGATCTGAAATTCTACCATTGAAGCCAAACGGGCATGTAAATCACAATAACAGAAACAGAGGGAAAGAGAGTCATTAAGTAACTTAAGAAAAATCACATTAGCATTTAAATGTAGATGAATTAAATGTACCGTATTGCTGAACAGAAATGAAGGAATTAATAAATGCTGCAGCAGAGAAATTTAGGAATGAGAACATATTTCTGGAGGAAGAGAATCAGAAAAGCGTGTAACCTAAATAAACGCAGAGAGAGAGAGAGAGAGAGCTTCCACAGGTTTCAACGCTTGTTTGGATCCGAAGCAAAGAGATTTGAAAAGTCTGAAGTGAAGCAGGAGAGGACTTGGGCTTTCTCAAAACTTCTTTCATTCTTTACGTCCTTTTCAGAAATTTTTAATAAATAGAATTTATAGATTCCCGTGTTTTCGGATATTTGCTTAAAACCCCTTCCTCTTTTCTGATATTGTAATGAGACTAGTTGACTTTGACATATGCTAACTTGCAAATACCACTTGGAGCGGGTCAGATTCGAGATCCATCCTTTGTAAACCCTTCTCTTTAACTTAGAGCTGTTGATGGGTCGGTTCTACCGATATGGTGATTGTGGATTTGGATCTGGACCGGCTCTTGCTGTTCTAAATTGATTAAGACCCGAGCCGGTTATGTAGTTAATAATTTATAAAGGTTCCTTAATTTTCTTGTAAATTTTGTTATATTTTATGTGTAGAAGGATAAATTTATATAAAATAATATTAGTTAAAAGCATTTATATAGGATAAATTTATATGGATGTCAAGTATAATTGGGTCAGAATTGATTCTCCTTGGTTCAGTTCTGAGTCTATTTTATTGATTAATAATCCACCAAGGACTGATCCACCATGCCCAGAACTAGATTCGATTCATTTACAGTTCTGATCTTAATTCGGGTCATATTTGCGGTATCTTGTTTAGTGGACGTAGAGAACCAGAAATATATGGATTCGGGTCTTAGCTTTCGCTTCTGTTTAAGAGAAAAATCAATTAGGCTCTTGGGTTGAATATAAATGCTGAAAATCATTGTGGAGAGTAGGAACCAAGATCTGGTTGAGTCTCCACCAGGGAGCAAGCTTTAGCTGAACTCTTTGATTGTTTAGCGGGTTGTGGAATCAATGATAAGGTTCCAAGGGTTCCATTCCAGTAGAGTCTGCACCTTTTTATAATGAGGCTCATTAATTTATTACTGCATGGAACATTGGTTCCACAGCCAACTGAACAGCCGAGCCGACGTGTTCAGTTAATCCGAATTCTCCACCTGATTTAGTGTAGACTTGGAATTCAATTGAGGTGTGTAACTTGGGAGGGTCTCATGATTAGTTTTTGTCAAATTTTGAATGGATCCAGTTTGAAACTTACCAGCATGAAACAATGTAAAATGTTAGCTTGGATTAACCCAAATTGCACCCCTAAATCAAATTCCATTGCCATTAGATTGGAGGGGCCCAAGCCAAAATCATGCATGTAAAATGTTAACTCGGGTTAACCCAAATTGTACCCATAAATCAAATCCCATTGCCATTAGATTGAAGAAGCCCGAGACCAAAACAATGTAAAATGTTAAGTCAGGTTAATCCGAATTGTACCCCTAGATCAAATCCCATTGCCATTAGAGTTGAATGGAGTCAAGCTCAAAGCAATATAAAATGTTAATTTGAGCCAATCCAAGTTATAATCCTAGATCAAATCCCATTGCCACCAAGATTGGAGGGATTTATGGGTAGGGAGGATGGATAAAATAAAGTTGGAAAACTGAAGCTAGTTTAATGAATGGTTTTGATATTGGATCCACCAGTGAGAAGGGTTTCACATTAGAGAAGGAACTATGGAGGAAAAGAAAAAAATATCGGTATTTTAACGCAACACACTAATAACTCTCCAAAGTAGGTAGTAACGGGTAGCAAGACTTAAATCCGCATCTCCATTGGGACTACCTAATTTCAAAATAATAATAATAATAATAATAATAATAATGGTGAAAAAATCACCTAATCATATTAGTTTTTTACATAATTTTTTGATAGAAAATCATGCAAAATTGTTTGGATCATGTCAATGGTGGTGACTACCAATCAGCTAATGTGAATGTGATTCCATTTTTTTTTTCTAGCATTCATGCTTATTAACTTTATGTTGACCTTATCATAGTCCAGAGCATTACCAAACAGTGCTTCATCGTCAATGGATGAGAATGAACAACAGAATAATTAAGAAACAATGAGGGTTTAATTGTTACCTTGGCTCCTAGCTAGGGTGTAAAATATAATTATTATATGCAATAAAAAATTAGATATCTAAGAAATAAGAGGATGTACTCAAGAACTAGAACATGGGACACCGAGTATAATAATAATGAGATACCTATTCCTACATTATTTCCTTTATCATTCATTCCATTTGATTGTAGAGTGGAAATGGAATTGAATTTCACCCTCAAATCAATACCATGGAATTCAAATGAACAGGTGAGTTCCAAACAAACTAAAAACGTGAACTTTTAAGGCTAGAAAACCCAACTTTGGTCCATATCGAGTTTGGAATCAAATCTTATCCATCAGATTCGAATTAGACTTGGATTGGATTCTCATAATATGTAGTTAATAAATTAAGCTAATACCATAATATTAAATATTAACAATATTAATAAAATGAAATGGAAATTACTTTGGTATTGCATGTTATGAATATTAATAATATTGATTGTGGTAGGTCCATATGTTAGATTAAGCACATTCTCACGTAGGTTGGTCACTATGTTGCATTTATTAAGCTGTTAGAGAGTTGAAACGTTTAAGGTTATTGATGGGTGGACCATTTGATTGCCTCAAGAACATCTATAAATAGAGAAGGTCACCATTCGGCCAAGTGCTCGTTTTCAATCCGTTTCTCATCTCCTTGGAGGCTTAGAGTTGAGTGATGACTCATCTGAGAAACTGAATTCCGGTAGGATCAAAGTTTGCAAGTTGGAGAGATGGAAATTATGATTTTTTTTTGATATTTGAATGTATATATATTTGTTCAACATCATCTTTGGAGCTGATTTCCATTGTTTTATCTTTAAAACATCTTCACCATATGCATCGGATATGTATCAAAATTTTGAACTTTATTCATAACCAAAAAAACAAACTAATAACAACATTTTCATGTGAATCCACGTGGCACCCTATTTCATACATGGCCCAACACAATACTAACCAAACCAATTAACAATTGACTTCCGTATAATATGCTGGCCCACTAATGGGGCATGTAACAACCTAATATTTTAATCCAAGTGCCACAGTATTTTAAATCTAAGGGCTATAACTATTTAATTTAGAGTTCAAATCAATCCCCACCAGATTGCCCCTCACAACATCCCACAGCACATCTTTTCTGTGTATTGTGAATATCTCCCGAATGATGATATCATCGGGAGATATTCATAATACAGAACAAGAATGTGCTGTGGGACATTGTGGAGGGCTGATTTGCTCTCTTTAATTTAACGAATTGACCAGAGGGAGAGAATTAGGTGGCAATGTGGCAGGAGCAATGGTGGCATCAACAACAATGGCAAGTGTTATTATCATCATCATTCTCTTTCTTCTTCTTTATCCATATATGACAAACCTAACCTAAACCTAATATTTTGATCCTAAGTTCATGCCACAGTATTTAACACTTATATAAGGGTTATAACTATTAACGGATTGACCCCTTTACCCAAACGTCGAACCATTAACCTGTCACCTAAGCAGAAAATCAGGTGTAATTGTATGTCAACCTTATAATAAGTGATTGAAGGATTTTGTAAATAAAGATCTCACATTTTGAGAGATTGTCTCAAAGGGGTGTCCAAGGGTTCAGGTCGTTCAAGGATTATGGGCATTGTTTTTTTTGGATATATTGCATTAGTGTCCATTTTTCTTAGTTGTGCTTGTGCATATAAACATATACATATAATAAACTCTGAGATTCTATTTTGATGGATTTAAGGAGGAGAGAGAAATGGGGCATTTCTAGAAGGCGGACTAGAGAGGCACAACCAAACGAGGGTGGAATAGGAAAGGCGATATGACTTGGGTGGTCTTTTGGAAAATTCTACTCACAAGACATCGCAGTCGTGGGCCATGAACATCTCCCCGTGAATGACAATATACAAGTATGGAAGATATTCTTGATGCACATAGGCTGTAATGTCTTGTGGGTTGCAGACCTGGAGTCTTTTGGAATTGTGGTGCTACTTTCCTCTTTTGTTCCATGTAATGTAACTATATAAGCAAGGTTTCAAAAACTAGACCAGACATGAAACTGTTATGGGGACTGGTTTCTAGGTCAAACAGTCCAATTGTTTGGTTTGAACAGACAGCTTATTCTAATTTTAAAAATAAAAAAATAATGAAAAATGGTCAAAAACTATTATCCGAATCAACAGTTCGACCGCCTGAATCAACGGATTGCTGACAAACCAACGGTTTTTGGCCAAAAACAGTTTTAATTTAGGGTGAAACGAAATCGGTTCCTGTGTATTTTGGTCTGGTTTTCAAAACCATGCATTATAAGTACTGCATAGGGGTGTTTGAGACATATCGAATCCTTGTATTTATTTTTGGAGGGATGCATAATGCACTTCACAGGCCCATTGACTCTACCATGGAAAGCCTGTAGTTATGGAGGATTTGATCTCACACCAAAAATGGAGGTGGCTCCCACCTTCAGTCGTCTATATGGTGCCTATTAACGCCTACATGTTTGAAACTATCATAAACTATTGTGCAGTGTGTTGTGTCAAAATGTTCTCATTAATTTCCTGTGAATGACACAATACTATGGGGGTAGAGTAAAGGAATATTTGCAATTAATATTCATTTAAGGCAAAAAGACGAATGGGATAACGCGTCAAGTGAAGGAAGCTCTCAAACAACCAAAATTTGGTAGTCTTTGTGAGCAATCCGGATCACCCGGCTGAATTATCTATCACGGTTAAACACTTCAGTATTCACTGTGGAACCCATCTGGGATTTAGTGGTATTGAACACGTATTTAATAGTGGTAGGTAATTCAGCCGGGTGTGTATGTTTTTGTCTTCAGCTAATCCGTTCTCGTCTTTGAGTGGAAAAATCCTTTGTTTTCTTTCATTTCTGTTGCCAAGGAAATACTAAATATAAAAGAAACAAAAAAAGTCAAGTAATTAAAGTGAGTGAGTGAGAACAATGCTTGAGAGAAAAGAATGAACAGGAAAGAGAAAAGGTAAAGACAGAGTGAGAGAAAGAAAAATGATAACCACAAACAACCACATAGTTGATTTTGCTTAGCTACTTGGGCACGTCTAATATGATGTCTTTAGCCCATAAGGAAACCCTAATGCCTCCCTCCTCGTATAGTCATGAAGAATGAAAATGCCTATGGTCCACATAACACATAAAGATGCTTAAAACCACAAAACAACAGAAATAATTAATGGCTTTATTGTCATTCTCTATTATGGATCTCACTCATTCAATAAAGAATCTTACATAAGCAATTTCTTAAGTCAAGTTGGGATTTTTATTCAACACTTCCACCTTTTGTCTGGTTGTGGTGTGTTAAATAGGCAAAGGGTTTCTCTGCATCTTTTAGACAGGAATGGATAAAGAAGTTTGTTTCCATAACTTAATGATGAATATAGCATTACAATGGCGAAATAGGATTCATGTAGCAGACCCGACAAGAATTACTTTTTTTAAGTCAAGTTGGGATTTAATTTAACACTTTCACCTTTTGCTTGATTGTGGTGTATTAAGTAGGCAAGGGTTCCGCCACATCTTTTAGATAGAAATGAATAATGAAGTTAGCATGTATGATATAATGACGAGTATTGCACTAAATAGAACGAAATGGCGAAACAGGATTCATGTAGAAACCCCACAAAGTTTAGATGATGATAATGACGATACCCCACTTTGCTTTGAAGATAACTGTAAAGATCACTGACGTATTTACTCCTGATTGGGTTTTGCGATCCGTCATCAAGTGTTGCAGATCTGGAGTGATGAACATTGAACAACTGGCAGCTGTTTTATGGCTTGTCGCTGCTCACTGGTTCTGACCTCTTATACATGGTTTTGAAAACCGGACAGTCGGACTGGTTGACCCAGTCAGGCAATTGGTTTTGTTTTACCATAAAATCGCTTTTAGGCCAAAAACAGTTAATTTGATTAGTGACCCACTGATCCAAACGGTCAAACTGTCGATCTGTTGATACAGACAACAGTTTTGACCATTTTTTTTTAAATCAGAACGAACTATCCATTTGAATTAGACAATTGGACCATTTAACCTAGGAACCGGTTCCGTATCCGGTCTGATTTTTAAACCCTTGCTCTATAAGTCCTTGGAGGTCTTCATATACAATATGTGAGTCAGGGTGATGTCCAAACACCTGGACCCATCACTTTCAATGGACTTCATGCTTTGCTTCTGAATCAAGGAATTTGGATGGAGAGAACTCAACATCCTTCATTAGTTCAACATTTTCCATCAGCCAACATCACTCGATAGAAACATTCAAAGGAATAAACCATTCAATTAAAACTAGGCTAGACACTAGAGGTGTCTTAGTGTCATTATCTCTTGCATCTTTCCAGTGCCCTCTCCTTCAAAAATTCTTAATTTTTTTTTTAATATAGAAATATAAATTGGAAATAAACTAGAAATAATTACAATTTGGATCCTGGTATTTCTTCTCTATTCTAGAATAGTTGAAACTTGACCCTTGGTTGAATCTGTTACTCTCAGCCATGTAATGCCAATCTGCAAATGTATCCATTCAACAACTTTAATTGCTGCTTGCAACTGTTGTTCAATAATGTTTGGCTCATGCAAATATTGTTTTTTTGTTTACACATTAGGAGGGGGAATCAGGGGAGGGGACAGAACTGAGGATCTATTGACCTTACCACAGAGAGCCTATAGTCTCATTTAATTTGTTGGAGGGATGCCGAATGACCGTCTCAATGTTAAGAATTTTCTTGGTAGACAAATGGGCTAAATGATAGGGGCAGCCCACCCCTAATCCCCTCAAGGCTCAACCAGCTAGAGACTTTTATAGAACCAATCAAAAGAGTTTGAGTTAAAAATCTTCTTGTTCATTCTATCCCCTCCTTTGTTTCGTCTCAACAAAGATAAGGATCACAAGGAATACAAGAGCAGGGATGGCTGAGCGCTCAAAAGTCAACACTCCTGCACATAACCTACACTGTTTGGAAGTAGGTGTGTCCCATCATGTCTATTATAAGCCATTTTTATAGTAAGAATTAATGCCCAAGTTAAATCTCTGGTTCCTCCTTCACATGGGGTTTCCCAAGAGGATTTCAAATTTCAATGTAAGATGCCCAAAATGAAATCAGAAATATTCCTGTCAAAGTTTTTGGACCAATTGATGTTTGGGTTTGGTTAGTGGTGGGTGTTTGATTTACTCTAATAATATTCATGGAATTCATTTGGTGGATGGTGGGGAGTGGGGAGTTCAAATCTCTACCCACATGGATGCTACGCGCACCTAAGTTATACCCACATAACGTGCTGTATATTGAAACATCTTCGGTATTTACATGTTACTATTTCATAGGAAGATCAAAGATATTTCCAATACACAGCTATAGTGTCTTGTGGTAGTGGAGAATTTAGGAATTTCAACGTAATCAGAATTAAAGCATCTTAGTGCAGTGATTCCAAACTGTTGTTGACCCGGTCGATCGGACCATTTAAGATTCAACCCATCACCTGGTCAGTGGTCATGATATCAGTTTATATTCATCCCTAAAGCGCCTCTACTCGAAGAACAGTCTATTTGATTACAGACCCAGTCATTGGAGTGGTTGAACCTTGAACCGTCAATTCACTTAGAATTGAAAAATGGGTCACAAGTTATAAATTACAATGCTTTTATTTTAGATGAATTAATACCTTTTAAATCAAGCCGGATTTCTCTGTGTCGCCATTTTGTATTATGAGATGTAGTAAGGTGCGGGTAACAAAATGAATAAGAAATTTGTCCACCTTTAAAATAGTTAATAATTAAAATTTGGATTAACTAAATGAGATGAGATGGAGTATTATCATTGGCTCCACAGCCCATTACATAGCCATTATGTTCACCTAATCCAATCTCCAACAATTAATGGTGATCGAGGTCTGGCACTGCTCTCATAAGACGTTACAGCCACGCATCTTAGACTTGTGTCATATTCGTATGTTATCATTGATGGGGTCATGGGGTGGTATCTTCACTATCTTGTGAGTAATGGATTCGGACTCCCATTCATGGGCCAATGTGTTGGGATTTGCTGGTTATCCATCAGCAGCATCCATTGGTGGATCTCTAATAGGAATAGGAATGCAGCTTCAAGCATATAAATACAAACCACTTGTTTTTATTGGCCTTGTTTGTTAAACAGCATGTCATTTATTTAGATAAATGTTTTTTGAAAAACATTCGTCCAGATAAGTGTTCTTTATTTCTTAGATAAAATTATACAATAATTATTTTATTCATACATAAAATTTGTATTATTAAAGGGACAATATTATCCTATTATGTATTAACAAATTTTCGTGTGGATAAGAAAATGATTGATCTAAGTCTCAGGAAAATATTATTTATCTAGGTAAATAAACCGCTTGAGAGTCATTATTTTTCATGGAACTCATGAATTTCTTTTGTTTTCATGAGGCCCATCAATTTACCTGCCCCCATTTACCGGAAAATGAATGTGCCCCTAAAATCAGTAACTCCCAATACAAACACCTTCGAGTAGGGGTTAAGTTAGCTCGAATTAACAGTTTATACTATTTCGGGCTTAGACTTCGGATTGGACCCATTAAAATTTTGACAAAACCCCAACCCTAACCCACAAAAGTTGCACCCCTACCTTCAAATATAAAGACATAAAGGTGTTCGGTGTTCCACAAACGGATCTCGCTAATAGGTAACAAGCATATGCGGAGCGTGGGCCAACTGCCCAACATTGACAACTATTCGTCCAGTGGGCTTCCGCCCCATAGTCAGAAGACCAAGAAAGTATCTGGGCCGATTTGTCTTTGGCCCAGCCAGTAACTCGGCCCATGTTTCTGTTGCACAAAATTACATTCTCGTTTTGGTAGTATACTTTACGGTCACCATGTTCGTTTCCGACATTAATAATCGAACGGTTGTACAGTTTAATCGGCGTTTCAAGGGAGAGGGATGGAGGCGTGCGTAGCTGCATCAGAACCGGTCATCAAGGTCGCTGCGCTTTGTGGGTCCCCGCGCAAGGCTTCCTTCCATCGTGGCCTCATCACCTCTGGTACTGGTTTTCTGCTTCTTCTTCTTCTACTCTGTTACTATCTCCCTCTTTCTGCGTCTCTGTGCTTTAATTTGATATTTTCTTTTTCCAGCAATCCAGCTATGCCGAGAGTCTATCAAAGGGATGTACATCGAATACGTGGACATCGAGCCCCTTCCTTTCATGAACCCCGACCTTGAGGCCGGCGGGACTTTTCCTCCGGTGGTCGAGGCGTTCCGTCAAAAGATCCTCGAAGCCGATAGCATTCTCTTCGCTTCTCCTGAGTACAACTGCTCTGTCACTCGTATGCTTTATGCCCTTGTCTCACTTCTTCTTTCTTTGTTATTTCTTTCTTTGATTTCTGAATACTGGGTTCCTGAATTTTGTTACTGGGTTCCTGTCTAAACCCAAAAAATGGGATAAGAAAAGAAATTACAGTGTTAAACTGAAAAGAAGAATACTAGTTTTAATTTTTAGCAAGGGGTTCGGACTCTACATGGTAGATAGAAGTTCAGTGGATCTCTCTCAAAACTCAAAAGGGTTTGCATGAATTAACCTGGAAATTGAAGATAACAGCACATATATAAACTCTATTGAACTAACGTAGTGCATCACAACAGCCTATGGGTTTTCGTTTGCCCAAGTTCTGTTGAAGGAAATAAACTAATAAAACAGTGGTCTGAGCCACGTTGCTTTTGTATGTTTTGTCACTGAATGTCAGTAGTATGCCTAGTTGATCATAACAAGGATTATTGCAGTGTGGCTACACCGAACCATAATTTAGGTTGTGTTTGGTATTATTGCTATTTCTACTATAAACTTTTGGGGTTTCAAAAATTGTCTCGTCACATCACAGCAGAAAACCACTTCCATTGGATTGGTGTTGACATTTATAATAGAAACATCAAGCGTCTGTTTGGCTTTGATGCCGTTGCTCCAGAAAATTGCGACACATCAGTGCCACGTCGAAAAAACAGTGCTACAGTGAACGCCTGTTTGTTTGGAACTGTTTTTCCATAAAAAACGGTGCTCCAAGCCACGCCTTAGAAATAGGGAAGGCGTGGCTTGGAGCAACGCCGAATTTGACGTTTCTTAGAGCTGCAGCTCATCGCTGCCAACAGGGACATGACGTGGCAGTGGATAATAGGTACCAGTGCTGAAAATGTTTCCTGGAGCATTGGTACCAAACAGAAAACGTTGTTGTTGCTCCAGGAAGCGTCCTACCTGGCAGCAACGTTTCCAAACAAAAAGAAAGTTACCGTTTTATCAGAAAACGGTGCTTCCAACCCACACATCAGCTGTATCTGCAGCATCGATGCCAAACATATACCAAATTTGGCGTTTCTTGAAGAAGTGGCGATGGTACCTGCATTTAATACTAAAAATGGAATTTTTTATGTAAACAGTGGCATATTTTATCAAATGCTTGTATTGATAAACCCCAAACGTTTTTAGTAGAAGCAGCAATGATATCAAACATAACCTTAATATGAATATTTTGTCTAGGATTAAGCATATTAAAAATGCATAACCTCTTGTGAAAGGGTTGAAATCATTTCAAGAATTTCATTCTGCCAAGTTATGAAACATTCTTTCGTTGTCTCAGTTTGTCTATTGGTAAAGCTTCAGGCCATGGAAGCTTCTTGCAGTAGCATTCCTTTTTTTTTTTTTTGATAATTGTCTTGCAGTAGCATTCTTCCTAAAGACCTTGTACATAAGGCTTGGTTTGTTTGCAGTGCAATTTCATTTGCTCTGGTGCAATAGTATGGGAGTGCAAATGCTTTGAGTGCATATTCTGATTTCTTTTTTGTTTCAGCTTTTGACTTATTTTATTTGCTTGCATTGCAAATGAGGTGAAATAAAATCTGAAGCAAAGTAAAGTGAAACCCAAATCCGAAGTGAACCAGAATTTGCATTTTTCTCATTTGCACTCTCATGCATTTGTACGTGCAAATAAAAATGCACTTCAAACGAATGGAGTTTAATTGGTCATTTTCCACAAACACATTTCTGAAAGTTCTGAAAAGGGGCAGATTTACTGGTTAAAGAAGTAGCTTCTTCTTTGTAGGCATTATTTTCTTATATCTTAAAATTGAGAGAACACTGTACCCCTTCCTAATTTCTTTCTACTGTATTTTCCATTTACTACCTATAAAAAATGTTTTTTTTTTTTCAAAATCCTTCTGTATCATTTTTTTTTTCAATTGTCAAAAGCCTTTGTTTTATGCTTTCAACTTGTCAGTATCTTAGATTCCTAAATATTAACATAAACATGTACACTAATGGGAGAACTAGATACCGCTTATGTTTCGTAAGTCCACAGAACATATACTGCTAAGAATATCACCATATGCCATAAAATTGTCTCTTTTCTTTTAGGCAAAGTAACATTATTTAGTATATTTACATTATGTAAGCTCTAACAAAATGCCATATGATAAATGTAGGTGGAGAATTGCAAGATCATAACACTGTTATTGATGACAACATATGAGTTGCACTATTATCTCTTTGATTCTTTTGAGTCCTAAGTTAGGAAAGGTAGATCCAGATGATCCCCTGAAATGGCTAACTAGCTATTTTGTTACTGGTACTGCAAGTAATGGGAACGGAACTGGACATGAAATTACAGGTCAGATAATAGTGTTGGACGTGACATGGCTTAGTGATCCTGGGTCATGACTCATGAGAACAAGATCCTCTTCTTGCATTTCATTCACTCCTTATATAGGCTAAGACTGGCTGTCACTGGTGCAAGGCATGACTTCACAAATTAACATCGGGGACAGGATTTCTGGGTGTAGCAGCTTGCTCACTGGGTGTTTGAATGTTCTGCAGCTGTGTTGACAGGCAATATAAACAATAGCTTGTGTTCAGGTCCAATCGTATGGCCACGATGCAGAACTTTTCTTTGTCCTTTTGCAAGCTGTTCCTAGATTGTCATGAATTGTCTTCCACCTAGAAATTAGAAGAGTAATGGTATCTTTGGCATGTCATGACTAGGCATGCCAGACAAGGCTCACCTTTTCACCTTTTAGACACCTAATGATGGACATCAAAATTATGTCACCTGTTTCAGACAGAGTCTAGTAATCTTTGAACTCTTTGGGGAATTCCAACTATTGTTTCCTGAAGGTCTTCACTCTTAGCATTTTTGTGGCCTCTTCTTGTATCTTTGTACCTTTCTGATGCTCTTCCTTGGAAAGACAAGATTCTAGATGGTTACTAATGCTTTGTTTATTTAACTTAAGTGATTGTGATGATATATTTCATTTTCAATGATAAAGATGGAGGGAGGGAGGGAGATTTCTTTTTTTCCCTCTTCTTAGAATCCTGATTTTTAAACCATAAGTATCTTTTTTTTTTTTTTTGCTTTTGAAAACAAGAACAAAGCATAAGTAATACAAAATGTATTATAGATGTATAACACATATACCAATAAGATGCACCATGGTAATAATATTACAATAAGACACCTACTTTGTGATTTTTGTTTTGTCACCTAGGCACTAGGCACATGCCTTATCACCTAGAATAGTAGAATGGTGCCTTACTACCTTTTTAATCAAAGTCATGTCATTTAGGTTAAGTGCCCCACCAAAGGCTCCTTGACACCTTGATAACTATGCCAACAACCCTCATTAATTCCAGAAAGTTCCATGTCTATCATTCTGGATTTCAGTACAATGTCCTATCCAAGATGCTTGAATCCTTGTATGAAAATTTCTAACTCTTTAATTCTATCCCTTCCATTTTCAAAACCACTTGTCTAGCAAAGCCTTCGTCACCTAGAAAGAACAAACCAACTGTTACTAACTTAACTTGAACTTCTATTGATAAAAAAAAAAAACTTAACTTGAACTTCTTTATCAACCATCCTTTTTAAATCCATCTTTTTATCTAACATGAAAAGTCTGCTCGAAAAGGAAAAGAGATCTAGGCATCACCACTGGAAATATCATGGATAGACCAAAAGCTTGATTCAAAAAGGATCTTTCCATGTACCATGTCTTAAAGTTCTTGGTGAGCCATCATATAGTCCAAGATAGGGTTTATGACACTAGCATATGGCCACTTTCTGTTCCGCTTCTTTCCATCAAAGATTCTTTTGTTTATTTTTTGCCAATCCCCACAACAAACTGTATTGGGAATGATCTGGCCCTTTTTAATAGTACAAGTTTTTGGAGGTGTCATTGCTTGGTTATTGTTGCATGATTCTAGATGGCAACCAACCTGGTGTCAGAGAGCTTGTGAAAGGATGCTTGGACACTGATGGTCCATTGGCTCTTCCTCAGTTCAGTTAGCTAATCTGGCTAAAGCTGTAAGCATACTTCTGTTAATGATTGAAAATGCCAACAACTTCTCCAATGAAACTGATGGAGTCAGGGAAGGTGCATGGCTGAGAATAAGGAGGTTGGATGTGGGAGTCTTGGGTGAATTGGCTACTTGGGAAGGAAGGGACTTATCATGGATAAACCAAAGGAGCTAGTGGTATTGTTTCTTTGACAATGTGACTTCTGTCTGGTGACGAGGGGGTTGTGGGGTTGAATCAGTAGATTGATGGCCAAACGGGGATAGGATATCACCTTGGGAGGAGAGTCCCTGGTTCTTTGACAGTGTAACTTCTGTCTGGTGAGGAGGGTGTTGTAGGGTTGGATCAGCAGATTGCTGTTTAGCTAGTCTGGGCTATCACCTTGGGAGGAAAGGCCCTGGAGTCAAGAGAAGCTATTGTTAGGTACAGATTGGTGCAGAAATCAGAAAATGATGTAAAAGAATCTTTATGGGAGGGGATGCCAATTTGCACAGATTGAACCAGAAGACTTCGAGAGAAGGGAAGGGAGTTTGAAAGGGCAATACAGGGTAGAGAAAAGAGTTTGTCTTGAATTGTGAATGCAGGCTGCAACAAAATAAAAGCAATAGTGAGGGTTGTCAAACTAGGGATGGAACATGTCAACTAGAGGAAGAGATGGAGGAAGGTTGCTAAAGCAATTTACTCCTCTGATACCCTGATACCTTTACAAGGATGTCTTGTTGCATTGGAAACTTCAATTTTTAGTGCAAGTTTACAACAGTGCATCCAGTCTGTCCTTTCCGTATCTGGGTAATATAGATGTAATAAGTTTTCCTGTTGCTGCAGTGAAGAATAGGAGGAAGTGAATTGGATTATAAAGGATTTTGGTTACATCTGAGTGTGGTGTGTTTATTGTTTTGCTGTGGTTAAAATAAACTTGCCATTTGATTTGTCTTAAAGTAGTAATTTAGGGGGTGTTTGACAACAAGGTTGGTTTTGTTTTTGAAAACAAAAAACTACCATGTCGGCAAAAACAATATAATTTTGCTGATGTGGCAGTTGCTTTTGTTTTCAAAAACAAAACCATGTTCTCAAAACACCCCCTTATGTTCACAAAAACTATCACTGCAAGTTGTTTTCTGAAGTGCAATATTTTAAAATGTCGTATCTCTTTATTGATAACGTTAGTTTGTTAAATGTTCAGCATTTCTCTGTAGGCTGCTTATGTTTCAATCTAAGAGGCAGAAACAAAGTATTGACTGCAAAACATACAGATGCAACTGAGATTCTACATAAAGAAAAAGAATCCCACCTATTTTACAATGAAGAAACAATCTTAATAAACTTTTTTTTTTTTTTTTTGAGAAAAGAGATTACAATCTTAATGAACTTTTGAATCATCTTATTGAAAGGATCTCACATGTAGCTACAATACATGAGTTAAGATTCCAGGTCATTTATCAAATTGGAATGCTTAGTAGATGCATATACTATTGCTAGCATACTATACTTCTCCAGTTTCTATTTGTTTCTAACTCATCCTCTTTCATCTTGATTCTAGCTCTTTTAAAGAATGCCATTGACTGGGCAACTAGACCTCCGAGCGTTTTGGCAGATAAATCAGTTGCTATTATAAGCACAGGAGCTTTGGGAGGCAGGTCGGCACAGCTTCATCTACGCCAAATTGGGATTTATGATCTTCACTTCATAAATAAACCAGAATTTGCTTTGAATACATTTGACCCTCCTAGAAAGTTTGATAGTGATGGGAACTTAATTGACCCAGAGGCCAAAGAGAAGTTGAAGGAAGTACTTTTATCATTGCAGACACTCACATTGAGACTTAATCGTAACATGTATTAGATGAATTTGTATTACTCAGACCTTGCCAATGTTGTGAAAGTTGTTGTTGGTTTACCTATCTCTTCATCGCTTTGTCATCTTTTATCCAAGGTAGAACTGATTTAACGTTCTACTTTATTTAGTAAAGTCTTTCTGTTTCACTTCTGATTGAATTCAAGCTCTGTATTTCTAATTTCTCCATGCGCATGCACATCTAGACCTATCTTTCTCATGTAATTGGAGTAAATGAACCCCGAGCTTCAGGTATAATGTTTTAAAAAATAAACTGGAAATTTGAATTGCAAGTCTGTGCGGGACTGGGGTTGAGCAGTTCAACCATATAGCTTGCCTGTAAAGCAATCTGAAGCTCAATAGATCACTGTCACTGGTTGATTGTACAGGCTGGTCCAACACTAATAAAGCAAGGTTTTAAAAACCAACCTGAAAATGAACCTCTTTGGCCATCGGTTTCTGGGTCAGCAATTTGAGTGTTCGGTCTAAACGGATGAGTCCATGACATTTTGAATAATAAAAATAATAAAAATAAAAACTGACCCAAAAACCATGTTTAGTTTGCTGTTATGATCCTCATTCCTTCAATTCAACTCTTTCTAGGCAAGAATGGGCAAGAACGAATGACATAAGATTGTTTGTTTACAAAATTCTTGCCACAGGAGAATAATGACCTCATGGCAAAAAAAAAATTGAGGTAATCTGCAACACCCAAGGTTTTTAAAACGGAACTGGACATAGAACCATTCTGGAGACTGGTTATCGGGACAAATGGTCCAACCTCCAGTTCAAATGGATGGACCGTTCTGACTTAAAAAGTAAAAAAAAAAATAAAATAAAATAATGGTCAAAAACCATTATCCAGGTTGATGGTTCCGAAAATTCATTTCTTTTGATAGAAGTATCTGAAATCTGATGCATAGAAACTCTTCCTATGGTGTTGGTGCCCAAAATGTTCAATAATGGATGCATCTGCTCACAAAAACATCTCCCTATATAATATTATATATAGGAGGATGAGATGTTCTTCATATGTGGCTGAGATATTATATGGATAGAAGTGGACAGAAATCTCGTGGACAGGAGATCCGGATTCACCTTAGTGATTGATTAAAGAAATATATATATATATATATATATATATATATATATATATATGTGAAAAGAGGAGTTCCTTTTAATTTTTGATAATAATAATAATAATAAATAAAAACCGCCCACCGTGGGGTTCGAACCCACGACCACAAGGTTAAGAGCCTTGCGCTCTACCGACTGAGCTAGACGGGCCGCCGTACGTAAGGTGATAAGTTTTAGTGAATCCGATTCGTACGAAAACAAAGTAAATCAGATTCCTCCCTAAAGATAACTGTATCATCAGTGGTCTCCGCTTAGGGCATCTTCCTCAACTGTCAAACGGATTGGGTGAAAACAAAAATTAGAAATGACTCGAACTCAGTAGTGTTTGTTGATTATGGTTAAATATTTAAGTTCAAAATAATGATCCCAATGGCCTGCACTTCATCATGATTTTTGAGTTGCTCCAGTGTGGAATGATGCTCTTATGAACTTCGGAATCTTCTCAGCATTCTGCCTTCAACTGTTACTCTTCTAATTATCAAGTCGCCACCTATTAGCTAAGCTGCAATTGAAAAAAGCCCCTAGTAGGGGGTGCAACTTGGGCGGGTTCAACCTAAATCGAACCGTATAAAATTTTGAGTTGGGTTAGCGCCCAAGAAATCGGGCTTTTTTATTTTTTGGGTTGGGTTTGGTTTTAGCCCTTAGGTAGTCCAAACTCAGTCCAACTATACACATATGTATATATATGTTCATTTTGCATACATACATATATATTTATATATATATATACATTTATATTCATATTTACTTATTTACAAACATATTTGCATAAATACATATATCTATAACTTTAGAGTGGGTTCATTAACCAACTCGACCCCAGGTCCAACCCAAATGTATCAAATTACAGTACGGGCCAGGTTCGGATTGGGAAAATTGGGCTTCACCTCAGGCTTGGTCCAGGCTCGTGCATTAAACCCAAATTTTAGGGTTAGGCCCGTGCTAACCATAAACCTGGCATCACCTGCCCGACTTGCACCCCTAGCAACTAAGGTTCAATTTAGGAAGAGTGCAAATACAATTAGCCAAAGCCCTAGTTACATTCTTCAATTTGGGAAGAGTGCAATTAGGGTCCAACTAGGATGTGGACACTTAGACAGTTCATATCCAAACCTTGAATATACACTCTATATATTTGTTTTTATACTCTTTCCAAATTGAGCCCTTACAAATACAAACATGTAGGGCGCAAAACCTTATATATGTTATTTATTTACTTATAAACATATTATTTATATTGCATTTCTATAAATTTGTTATATTATTTATTTTTTATAAAAAAACATGTATATATATATGATGAAAATAATTAAAAAAATACTTGTATTTTTTGTTTTTCTTTATTTAAATTGGTATATTTTATTTTTTCTTTTAATAATTTAATAATTTTTAAAGAAAACCAGTATAATCAAATCAAATCCAAAGATCCGATAGGATTCAAATTCAGATCGAGTCCTATTAGATCCGATTGGATCCGACATGAACAATGTCGAATCGCATTCAAATATACCCTTATTCGAATCCAATTCGATCCGTTTGCATCATTGAGCATGAGCCCAAACTCAAGCCTCATTTTTCTACTAAATCAAGTTTGAATAATCAGATATCCGCCTCAACTTGACTTGAATCCACCCCTATCTATACCAAGAGTTCTTCTTGGGAATGGGCCAATCCAGCCCGATCCATTCTTAATCGAGCTTAGACATGAAGTTAAGCACATTAACTCATGTTCAGGCCCAAAGCATCAAACCCAATTTTTTTCTGGCTGGTCTCAAGCTTAAGATCTAAGCCCGATGGTTGGACCGGGTTCAGGCTCGGGCCTGAGTATGTTATGTTGACATATAGGCAAAGCCCGGCCCATGAACATAAACAACAAAATCGATTGGGTCGGTTCAGTTCTACTATCGATAAACCCAATCCATTAACAGGTCTATTGAAAGTAATCCTGTTCATGGGCCGGGATTCGGGCCTAATTTTACACTATCTCCGGTTCGGGCTTCGGGCCGGTCCATTAAAATTTTGAAAAAAACCAAGCCCGAGCCCGGCCCATGAAAAGACAAATTTGGATTTGGTGGTTGGTGCAAGTTGGACAGTGGAACTCATTCGGTGATACTTTTTGGTGTTCGTCTGATCATGGTTAGACGGTTAAAGATGTAGATTCTCATATTCCAACCACATCACAAGCGCTAGAAGGTTGAAAGTCGAAACCATTCTTTTGATTTCGATCAGAAACAGCCGTACAGTTGTGAAGAAGAGAGCGGGTGCGAGATGGAACGGAGCGTAGTTGCAGCAAAACCGGTTATCAAGGTGGCAGCTCTTTGTGGTTCTCTCCGCAAAGCTTCCTTCAATCGTGGCTTACTCCGCTCCGGTACCCCTCTCTCTCTCTCTCTCTCTCTCTCTCTCTCTCTCTCTCATATTCTGTCGGATTCTTGATTTTGTTTAATTTTCTGTGTAGCAATCGAGATATGTCGCGAGTCCATCAATGGAATGCAGATTGAATATGTGGACATCGAACCCCTCCCTTTCATCAACACTGATCTGGAGGTGAACGGGACTTATCCTCCGGTGGTAGAAGCCTTCCGTCAAAAGATTCTCGAAGCCGATAGCATTCTCTTTGCTTCTCCCGAATACAATTACTCTGTCACTCGTAACTTCTTTTGCCCCTTCTCTTCGTTTCAGCTCTAGCTTCTGAATATAGAGTTGCTAAAATTTGATCACTGCTTTCTTTGTTTGATAAGCAAATTCTGGTAACTGGGTTTTGTAGATTTTATATCTTTTCCTAATATAAGGAAAAAGAATTAGAACTGAAAAATGAGTACTTCATCCAAATCGAAAGAAAATAAAAAAATTAAAAAAGAAGAATCGAAATTCTAATTCATATAAGAGGCTTCAGAGTGTACATGGTAGAGAAAATCTATTGAAATATACTTGGTCTTTTCTATTATTGGCTTCTTATTTAGTACAAAAAAATAAAGGAAATGGTATAGAGAATTATATTTATCATAGATTGTCCATGAAAAGGATTTGATTTTGTTCATCATATATTTGACACACTTCACTCTAACCTTGACTCCACCTCAGATACATGTAAAATGAAATAATAATAACACAAGAGATTGATAAGTATCCTTCAAAAACTCTAAGGCTATTTTTGGTTTGATAGAAAATAAGAGAGAAACAGAAAGTTGAAAGAAAGTTCTTAAGGAATTTTGTGGGTTTTGTCATGTGATGCAACCTTCAAAAATGAGAGAAATAACATACCCATAAACTCTTTGGGATAAATTTTAGAGGCATTATCATTGGTTTATACATCAAAACAGCCTAAGCTTTTGGTGTTGCTCCATTTTGTGGAAACTAGAAAGTAGGGGTAATGAATATGTGAAATTGAGATATCCAAAGTTTTAAAATCTCCATTTTAAATTGAACCATTGTTTCTCAATGTTAGTGGCATCATGGTTGGATTATTTCAGCAGAAGTGGTGGATGAGAAAGGAACTATTGTTACAGTTCTCTCAGCTTGGTTAGGATCATGGATTTTAGAAATGCAGGAACCCTGTTTCTTATCAAGGGTAAAGAAATTCAGGAACCGTTTTAGGTGGAAGCTATCTTTCTGGTAATGTCACTGGGTGGTAGTAGTGAAGATCTGTGATTGAATCCCACCTTCACTGTGTTCTGGGCTAGGTCTGCCCCTGTTGTGTAGTTCATTTGCCTACCAAAAAAGAAAGAACATCTTCAACCCAGGTTTTAAATCACATTACAAGATCACTTTGAAATTAAACTACATGACCACATCCAACAAAACTGTCACTAGGAGTTGTTTTTTGGACTGCCATATTTAAGAACTTCTTTGGTCTCTTTATAGTTAATATCATTCAGTGTTTTAAAAGGTGTGGGAGGTGTATGCCTGGACAGGCGAGGTGCCCCAAAACGCGCTGAGGCATAGGCCAGCGCTGACACCACTGAGATGTACGCTGCAGGTGCAAGAGGTGTACGGCTCATACGCTTTTTTCATGAGGTGTGCTAGAGGCGTACGCCTCATGCACACCTCATATAAAAAGACAAAAAAAAAAAAAAGAAAAAAGGAAAAAAGGAAAGGAGAGGAAAGGAAAAGAAAAAAAAGGTGGGTTGGGGACTCTGCCCCGGACCCCTTGGCTGGGGGGCTTCACATCTTCATTCTTTTTAATATAAAAGATTTTTGTTAAAAATAAAGAAAAATGAGATCCTCCTTCCTCTTCTTCCTCCTTGTGTTCGGGAGGTTAATGCCTCTTACATTTTGAATTACGCCTCACGCCTCTAGGTAGTGGAACGCCTCGCGTCACGCCTCCGCGTTTTAAAACATTGATATCATTTCCATTATACGGTTATTTTTCTCTTTACTGGGCTTTAGGCCATCATACTTATCTGAATTTCACATGTAGGTCAAGATTTGTAGTAATTTGACATGTTGGAATGTTCTCTGGGTGTATAAATTGCTGATATTAAGCTATTTCTCCTCGCTAACTCTTTTACTTCCCTGATTCTAGCCCCTCTGAAGAATGCTATTGATTGGGCTTCTAGACCTCCAAATGTTTGGGCTGATAAGCCAGCCGCTATCATAAGCACAGGAGGAGGTTTGGGTGGAGGACGAGCACAGTACCATCTTCGCCAAATTGGGGTTTATGTTGATCTTCACTTCATAAACAAGCCAGAATTTATGTTAAGGGCATTTGAACCTCCAAAGAAGTTTGATAGCGATGGCAATTTAATAGACCCTGAGGCAAAAGAGAAGTTAAAGCAGGTTCTTTTATCATTGCAGGCATTTACTTTGAGACTAAAACAGTAGGTGCTGAACCAAGTTACGAAATTCCAAACTTTATTCCTTGCCTGCTTCCTTTGAACTATAGTGTATTTGCATCTCAAAACTGGCTGGATTGCTTGTAGTTTGGCACATCTCAATGATCAGAACAAGTATGAACTTTAAACCACTCCTTGATCATGAAAGGGTTCTGGTTAAGCATGAGTGATGAAATTGAAGGAACAAAGATTTCCCTATTTCCTTTCAATTTGTTTTTTAAAAGTAATTTATTTGGCTGTTGTGCTTTGTATAGTTGTATCATCACCTAGAATCAATATACAGAATGTTGGGCCATGATGTTATTCTCAGAGCAAGACTCCTGAGTTATGGTTCCTTGAGCATAAATCTCTTTTTCTCTGGGAGATGAGATACTGGAAGTTACAGTTCCTCGAGTTAATCTTCCATTCAAAAAGCTCCAGAAGCCCTTTACAAGTTTATGGCCTATCAATGGTCATCTAGATTATGTAAATGCTCCATGCAGTAGTGATTGATTGATAATTTTTTTTCTACGAAATCTACCTCCTAGAACTAGAATTCAGATCTGATCATGGCCAGTTGAGTTTAACTTCAGGATGTTGGAGGTGACGAAAATAAATTCGGCTATATTATAAGCTTGTTTGCAGAAGCAAAGCCAAAACACATCTAACGCTGAGTCCATAAATTCAAGGACAACAGGAGAGATTTTTGCTTTGGATTTAATCCCAGGGATACGCAAAATACAAAGCAATAATATTAAATTCAAAAGAAGAGGAAACAAGATACTCATTAGCTAGTTCTTGAAATTTGGTGAGAGGGAGATTAAATCTCACAAAAAGAAACTAAATAAAATCAATCCCTAAGTTCATCATCGTTATTTACAGGAAATAAGTAGTTCCTATCACAGAGAATAGGGCACCCAACTGTAGATTCAGGTCAAACTACATCTTAAGCACCATTGGACGTTTATTGCCAAAACCTGCTAGATGAACATGGATGGGTCCACGGTGATTGATAAGAGTGAAGAAGCTATTTCACAGCATCGTTTTTGAAGCCCTCCGAGCCAGGATGATCCAACAGAGCAGACGATAAAACAAGAAGAACCCAATCATGATCCCCACATTCATCCACCTTGTGTCCTGGTCTAATCCTCTGCTCTTCAGAACATCTCTCCCCGTGACTGTACATATTGAACCATCTGGAATTTTCCATGAGAAACAGGTATCTCTCATACTCCAGTATTCATTGATAAGAAGGGAATCCAGGGGATACTTGTAGAGAGAAACATAGTACATGAAAAGCCAATACTTTGGGATGTTTTCCTTTGGAATGAAATAACCAGAGAAGAGAAAGAAGGCCCCCAAGATTGTGCTTATCAGAGAATTCCCAGAGATGAAATCAGGAGAGACTGCACTTAGAAAGAGGACCAGTGAACTGGCCATTAAGACAATCAACCAAACTATGAAGACAAAGAATGCAAAAGCATTGAACGAAGGATTGAGTCCTACAAGCCAGTAAACAGGGATTGCAAAAAGAATGGCGACGACAAACAAGAAAGGCACAAAGATAATGGTATTGGCAATCATATAGGAGGAAACCTTGTAAGCCCCCCTTGAAGCTTCCTTCATTAGAACACGCCGTTCTTGCAGGAAAATTGGAAGAGCTTCCACAGTAGAAGACAGGAGAAAACTAAGACTGAAAGCAAAAAGACCCAACCTCTCAGCTACCCCACTATCATCCTTCTTGACCCTCAAATAAACACTGCCCAACCCCAAACCCCCCACAATTGCTTGCATTGTTCTTGCCAAGAACAACTGCTTTGTCCTGTAAATTACTTTCCAAAATCTCAAACAAAGAGACAGTATCTCAAAAAGTCTCCAGAAATAACAGCAGCAAGTCTGTCTCTTGTAAACAGTTTGTTGGACTTTAATTTCTCCTGGCCAGATTGAGAAAGAAGATGGTTGTTTTTCTTCTTTGGCTGATATATATCCTTTTGAAATTGAATCCTCCAATGGCCTGACAATCTCCATGGCATACTCTAGAGCATTTAGCTGTACTGGGATTTTATATCCCATATGGGTTATGATAACCTCAAGCAACTCAAGGCTACCATTGTGAATGACTGAGCCACGAGAGAGCAGTAAGAATTTAGGGATGGCCTGTAAAATTCTGTAACTGGGTTGGTGGATGGTTAGAATTACCATTCTCTGCTTTTCTTTTGACATGGAGGAAATCAGTTCGATTACCTGAAGAGCTGATGTGCTGTCTAGCCCTGAAGTTGGTTCGTCGAGCAGCAAAATTGGTGGGTCATGGATCATGTCAACGCCTATAGACACCCTTTTCCTTTCTCCACCTGATATTCCTCTTGTCTCTTCATCTCCAATAAAGCTATCTGCAACATGCAGAAGACCCAGCTCGTGCATCAGACACTCCACCCTCTCTTTCTTCTCCTTTGAATTCATCCCTCTAAGTCTGAATTTAGCACTGAACATCAGTGTTTCCTTGACAGTGAGGAGAGGAAGCAGATTGTCCTCCTGCGCCACGAACCCACACATTCTCCTTAACTGAGATGGACTAGTTATGGGTTGATCATTAAGTGACAGACTCTTTGGATCAAATTCTGTATGTCGAATCCGACCAGAAATGATCTGCAGAAGTGTGGACTTCCCAGCACCACTGGGACCAACAACCGCAAGGATTTCTGAGCTCCTAGCTGTGAAAGAGACAGACCTGAGTATGTTGATATGCTCAATCCTCCGAGTCAGAAAACAGAATGAACTGGGTGCAAAGCTTTTGGTGTAGGATAGATTTTTCACAGTCAGTTTGTAATGTGGGTAGGATCGATGAGATGAAGATGATGAATTGTAGAATGAAGAGGAAGGGCTGGTTGATTCTTGTGGTGAGTTGGATGTTGTTGAGTAGAGTATCTCCTGGTCATCATCGAGGCCTGTTTTCTGGAAGCAGGATGCCATTGTTGAGGCCTGATCTCTGCAGGAGGAAAATCTGGGGGGAGGAAATGGTGTCTGGAGGATGCTTTGAAGTGGGGATCGAGCAAAGAGGAAATTCAGGACGGAAGATGGAGGTTGAACTGACAAACCAGAAAATGGAGATTATTGCAGTTGCAGGAATGCATTGGTGATGGTTGAAAGCTTGGGTTTGGCAATGTTTGGTGATCAGAAATTTGACGAATTTCGAGACATTTATAAAGTAGTTTGCTTACGTTTACTTGATGGGCAAATAGTTTTGCACACGTGACACGCCACACCAATAAATAGGGATGTCACTGGATCGGGTTAAGCGACATTCCATCTTTAACCCGAACCATTCGGGTCGGGTTCGGCCGGCCATAAACGGGTTATGATCGAGATTGAAATGCGGTTGACCCGTACCAAACTTTCTCCACTGACATAATGATATTGAAGAAAATGTCTAAGTATAGGCTTAAGAACAGAGCGGTTCATGGAACAGGATGGGTTGGTTTCGGCAACCCTATTTCAACTAATTGGTTGGATCGGGTTGACGTGACGGGTCGGGTTTTGATTGATCCGGTACCAACCCCAAACTGCTGACATACCTACCCAATAGGCCAATAAATTCATTTCGGGCCTTAAAGTCGGGTTGTTCAGAAAAGAAGGCTTAAGCAAAACTACAAAAGGATCTTCTTGGTCAGATTTGGTTTGGGCCCAACATGGCCCGTCCAATTCTTCTGGCTGTCTTGAATTTATGGATCAATTCGATCTCAAAACACATGTCAGGCCCATAAACCCATTTTAGAACAAAAATATAATATTACTCTCTCGGGTTCGACTATGATGATATGGAAAAGATATGATAACTGAAAAACAACTGACGAATAACACAAAATCTTAAACGTGGTTAAGAATATGGTGTGATTTATCAAAATTCATGGATGGGTTTTGATTGGTCAAAACTCCTTCCATACCATATCTTTTCCATATCATTGATTTTCCCTAATTCTATGATACCGGAAAGGTCTGAATGCCTAAAAATTTGAACCAATCAGAGACCCACGTGAATGGAATATCAATTGATCGGTTACAAATTGATGATACCGGTTGATTAGTTATCGCTTTTTTTAGGTATGATACCATTTCGGTATCATAGTCGAATCCTATTTGGTAGGCGGCTCTAATTTGGCCAAATCACCACTCAACCATGACATAAATATTGCAGATGGGGTAGGGAAAAGCTCATTAGTGATTAGTTGGTCCCATAAAAGAATCTTCTTCACAAAAACAATAAGAGAAAATATGTAGTGAACATGAGGTCTATTATCTTCAATGTACCTTATGCCCTAAGATCGCCTTGGCTTTTCAGTCTTCACCACTACCCCATATCACTGTGGACAGTTCAACAGTAGGTTACCTAAAACAAACAAAACCTTATCCACCATACAGATTACAGCATTTGTTGTTAGGAAAATCTATGATACTGAGAGAATTTTGACCAATCTAAATTCATCGTTGAATTTTGATAAATTTCACTTGATTGGTTAACACATTTATGATAATAGATGATTGGTTATAAATTTTTTCGGATAACATGTTTTTTTCCGGTATTATAGTCGAACTCTTTGTTCTAATAGGGCGGAATGTTTAGGATTCATTTGAGAATAATGAGCAAACACACCAGTATTCCGCATGAGGCTCACACCACATTTGTAAAAAGAGTGAAAAATAAGAATTACAGGAAAAAAAATATGGAGAAAAGGAACAGAGGACTTAGATAAATGTAAGGTTTAAAACATCGGATATCAGGTTTTCAGTGATCAGATGAATTTTCCTAAAAAATAAACAAAATTTCTACAATTTAAAAAAGGGATTCAATGCAACCCATGATCCACTGATTAGGTTGGATCATCATATTTGTAGCCAGTTGAATAATGGGCTGATGGGCTCAAAATATTGATACATTCATATCGTGAGATTTTTTTTTTTTTTTGGTTTTTACAAGAAAGGAAAAGAGAAAAGAGTTATCAAAGAAAACCTCTTTGACTCTTTGGGCTTTAAAGTTGGGCTAATTACTTAAATTTATCCCATGATTTCAATAAACTATTCGAATATACCCTGAGATTTCCAAAACTATTTAAATATATGCTTTCTTAAAGTATTTTAACGCTAAAGTTGATAGAAAAAAAAAATAATAAAAGGACAAAACTGACTTTAACTATTCATTGAATTTTCAAAACGTGCTTTTGTTCACTTTCTTGCTCTCTTTTCGTTCAATCCAGAGATGGCAGCGGAGGGATAATTGAGATTGGAGAGCAAATCTGCGCTAGAATTCTTTGGGCATTTGAGATTAGTGATCTTTGAGACAGAGTAGTAGAGCTGCAAATCAGGTGGGCCGGGCCTGGCATGGCCCATCACTGTACTACGCAGGCCATGCCAGGCTTGGATTCGCACGGCACGGCAAGACAAGGCGGGCTGTGCTGGCATGGGCCTATAGCATGGCCCAATACGGCCTATATATATAATTATATACATATTTATAATTTTTTCCAAGCTTTTTATAAAAATATGTCTCTCATGGTCTGGCCTGACCTGTGGCCCAGTCCGGCCTGGGCTTGCCTGGGGTCATTCCATGGGCCATGCCAGGCCTGACCTCTGAAGTATCCTATACGTAGCGAGTATAGCCTAGCTCAGCCCGCCGACCGATATGGCATGGCCTGATTTATACCTCTACATAATAGTCATAATTACACAAAAATTGCAAGTAGTAATTACTTTGTGTCCTTTTCATATACTAATTCTGGTTGTAATGGCCTAGATGGGCTTACTTCTCCCCCACCGAAATCATATGGTGTGACCATCGATCTCGTGATTGGTTCTTCTCCATTGTTTGCTTGAATAGCTGCACACCAGCCCCCAGTAACAGCACCAGTAAAAGGCTAAGGGCCTGTTTGGCTCAAGACAAAAGGGGTCTGGAAACTGGAATTGGAGATCAGAATGATTCATTCCGATTTGAATTGTTTACTTGGACAGAATTGGAAAATCTCATTTCTATTCCTGGTAGAATGGCATTCTCCCATTTGAGGGAATGGCTATTCCCTCCCCCTGCATTGGAATGAAATCCCATTCTAGCTGATTCTTATTACTGTCTAATCCAAACAAACTATAAGAATAGACCATTCTGTCAATTCCAATTCATATTCTGAAGGATTTTGGTTCTGATTCCGATTCTGGCTTCAAACCAAACGGACCCTAAAATATTAGGTAGCAATCTAAGGTTAGTCATTATAGCTTATTTTGTTATAGTCCCTAACAGTAACGCATTGACACTAAAGATTAATTAGTAAAAGTCCACCTCCTCCCCATCTTTTTTTTTTTTTTTTCTCTTTTCTTCTTTCTTTTTTGTCTCTCCATCTTCTTCCCAGACGGTGAACTCCATTAAAGCAAAGCACGATTAAACAAGCAATATCATTCTTCTCTTGCCTTTTTTGTTTGAAGATCAAATCAGCCCCCCACAACGTTCCATAGCATATCCTATCCGTGTATTGAAAACATTTCCTGATGATAATACCAAAAATGATGATGTCATCATTGGAAGATGTTCCCAATACACGACGGATATATGCTGTGAGACGTTGTGGGAGGCTGATTTGAACTCTTTTGTTTGAACCATTGGCATCACAACTGAGATTTTAGTTTGAAAGAAAAGGTAGGGAGGGAAACTTATACATCCTACCTTCTTTCAAACCAAACACAGCGTTGATGAAAAATTTGATTGACTCAACCAATGTTATTTGATTAACCGCTTTGATATCACAGATTCGTTGGAAAGGGAAAAATTATGGTTACAGAAATTACAGAAAGGAAAAGAAGAAGAAAAGAGGAGGGGAAGGAGAGAATCAGAGAAAGGAAAAATAAAAGTGGGATTATAAAAAACCAAATGGGTATGTGAAATAGCCCAAATGGGGCTATCTTACAAACCACAAAAAAAAAAAAATATTTTGGTCAAACCAAAAAACCCTAAGGCTGTATTTTATTTGAAGGAAAAGGTAGAAAAAGGAAGGAAAAGGCAGGAAAACCTACACAAGGTTTATACATATTTTCCTTCCTTTTCTTTCCTTTCTCTACCTTTTCCTTCAAACCATACATAGCCTAAAGTTAATGCAAAAGCTTGGCCTTGAGGTTCCTTGATTTTTGACATGTCCCATACATTATGGAACTTACCATAGATTGATTGGGCTCAAAATTAGCAACACAGCCATATACCGTGCCACTTTATTATTAATACATACATTTGGATGGTGAGAAGAATTATTAGGAGCTCTTTCAAAGCTCCAAAACTAATGCAAGAATCAAATTGTTAAGAATCATTTAATGTTGGAATTTTGTGACTTGAATTCCCAAAAATTAGGTTCTTTATGCTTCAGTGTGTGTTAAGAGACTATTGCCAAGGCTCAAATATATATCAATTTACACTTACAAATGTATACACATCAATATACGATTTAGATAGGCATTATGCAAATTTCACAATTACATTAATAACAGTAAACCTAAGGTTGAAATAACTACCACTAAGGTATAAATATATAAGATATGTACTATATAACTTTTTATAAATCACATATAAGGCCATTAATATGTTATTATTTATTTAAGTTAAATTATTAATTAATTAATTAATGATATTAATAATTACATTAATATATAAACAACCTAAAAATATATATTAGACTGATGAGAATGTTCAAGATCCATAATCCAAGAGTCCAAGATAAAAATCATAAGCAACTTTAAGATTTTAATTTCTAAAAATGTTCTATATTTTATTAGTTTTATTGTTTTATATTAAGTAACAAAAAAAGTCAACTTAATCTTAAGTCCTTATTATTCTAACAAATGGCCATATAACTTGTTAATATTACTAATGTAAATTAAATAAATTTTGTAAATAATACATTTATTCATATAAATAATAAAATTATGTTCTCTATTATAAGTTATGTCATTAATCAATAATTTGAAAAAAATTGTAATCTGAATTTAGTAAGTGTATCAAATCCATTAAAATTTCAAAGATACATATCGTATACAATTCATAAATTTTAATTGCTAAAATAGTTATTCCTGTTTTATTATTTTTACCCGATATGAATGTAGAATAGTGGATTTGATAGATCAT